AGATAGATAGATAGATAGATTCTCTCTATCGATGTATGCAGGTAAATTAACAGGTATTATACCAGATTTTTCCTTCTCCTTGAGAGATGTCTTAACGAAGACTATTTGACTCACACTCCTGCATATCTATGCTTTTAAGTCGCCGGAATTACCAGGTAGTCACCAATCTCGGTGTTGACAAGGCTCAACGTTGCTTAACTTCAGTGATCGGACGAGAACCGGTTCTCGACGTAATGTTTGTCGAACATATATATATATTATTTGTTTAACTGCAATAAAGTTTTTGGTGATGAAAGCTTTTTAAATAAAAACAGTGTGGATCAGCATAAAATTCATAAATTCTTTATTAATTATATTACTGAAACACTTATCTATCTATCTATCTATCTATCTATCTATATATATATATATATATATGTGTGTGTGTGTGTGTGTGTGTGTGTGTGTGTGTGTGTCTGTGTGTGTGTGTGTGTAGTTATTAGCAACCGCATAAAACGGGAAACGCTTTTGGAATCTATCGAAACTGAAAAGTGAAGACTGCCCCACCGCTTCATATATGGCAGCAGTGCCCCCATTTTTGCTCTGATAGATAGATAGACAGCGGATACCAGGGGATAAGGTACATAATGGGGCGGTACAGGGAAGACACACACACACACACACACACACACACACACACACACACACACACACACACACACACACAGAGTCACAAACACAGGAATAAGTCATACACAGTACACACATCGGACGGTTCCCCTGTACCGCCCTGTATGTACCTTATCCCTCTTGGTATCCGCTGTCTATCTATCTATCAGGGCAAAAATGGGGGTTCGAATCAACTAGGGTCGATCTGTCAAGTGCCTCATGAGTGAAATTGGGTAGCCGGAACCCTTGGGGCCCGTCGACAGCTGTGCTAGCACGAAGTCACAAGTCATCGTGGCCGAGCGTGTTGGCCTTGTTCAAATTTTTGAACATGCTAGCTGACGGTCTCTTTCTCAGAAACGGGAATTAAGGTCTGCTAACCATAACTGCAGTGTAAACCTACCAACAGAATATATTTCTCTTATCAACGTATAATTTTGAGATTCATTCCGTGATTACCTTCGTTACGTCCCTTGGAATTAAGTTTTTAGATATCCGTTAGAAAATGCGTGTCTGAGGTCTCCCCATGGATAAAAGCAAGGAAATAGCAAGTTAAACCAATTTCTCCTCTTTGGTTTTCACCTGCATGCTATAGCCCACAGGAATCACGTCTTTTAGTTTGCACCAGAGCGACACGTCTGATTGCAACAGACGTCTTTTGTCTCTGCTCGTAACGAGTGCAAGTGTGTCCTCAATGAAGCAAAGTTACTGTTTGCCGATAGAATGAAACAACGTATAGCATCTCACGAGTTCGTTTCTAGAGATTATTGGCGGCTCTGCAAGAGTGTGCTGAGCAACAGCAAATCCTAAGTCCCTCCTCTTTTCAAACAATTCGATGGCTTAATATCTACAAGAGATAAGGTTGAATGCTTTGCTCGGAAATTCTCAAAGAGCTCATCACTCGACTCTTCTGGAGTAGCCACACCTACCCCCCCCCCACTAGAAATCAGGCTCTAGTGAGGGATATACGCATAACCCAGTCGTTAGGGTCGGACATCATTTTTAAATCAGACTCCCATAAGGCAAATGGAGGTGGAGGGATCCCAGCCGCCGTCGTAAAGAAATGTACTTCCAATATGGCTCCTGTTTTCTCCCAACTCTACAACTATTGCCCCACTGTTTCCCGCTTTCCACTTTGTTGGGAGTCCTCCGCTGTAGTTCCTGTTTTTAAGAACCCTGGGAAACAATCCCATCTGGTATCTCTATGTGTCGCTTTACTACATGTCTACCTTTTTTCGGCAAAGTATTGGAGGCTTTAATCAATGCTGAAGTCGTTTTGCAAGAGTGTGCTGAACAATATACATCCTTCCCCCCTCCTGTATTCAATCAGTTCGAAGTCCTGGTATCTTTCGCAGATAATGTTGAATGCTTTACTTGGAAACCGTCTTCAAGCTCAACAATCGACTCATGTGGAGTACCACACCTGATTTTCCCTCTATAACTCAGATTCTAGAGAGTGATATGCGCATAACAGAGTTGTTCTAAATTTGACTGCCATAAGGCAAGTGGAGGTGGCAGGATCCAAGCCGTCTTCCTAAAGAAATGTGCTCCCGAGCTGGCTCCAGTTCTTTCCAAACTCTACAACCATTGCCTCGCTGCTTCCTACTTTCCAGCTTCTTGCAAGTATTCCTTTGTAGTTCCTGTTTTTAAGAACTCTAGGCAACCTTCTGATCCCCCCCCTGACTATCGCCTTATTACTTTTCTATCTCTTTTCGGCAAAGTATTCGAGGCTTTAATCAATGCTGATGTGGTTCTGCAAGAATGTGCTGAACAACATGAATCCTTACCCCCTCCTCTATTCAATCAATTTGAAGTTCTGACATCTAAAGCAGACAAGGCGGAAATTCTTTTCCAACTCAGCATTCGACTCATTTAGAATATCCACACCTGATTTCCACACAAGAACTGTGACTGCACTGAATGATATACGCATAGACCTGTCACTGGTCAGAAGACATCTTACTTATTATAAACGCAGATTGTGTGTGTGTGTGTGTGTAGCTGTACGTTTATATATTGAATCGGATTTCCTGCATTTTTCAACCGATTTCAACAAAACTTCACAGGACTACGTAAAATTACCTTGGTTCTGACAGCGCCAAAAGTCGAAAAACACAATTGTTTTTGCACAAAATCAATTTGATTAAGAGGCATCGCTTTCGCGGAATGAAAGGGGGACAACTCATATAGAGTTATACTTATTATAAAACTAAGGTTGTGTGTGTGTGTGTGTGTGTGTGTGTGTGTGTGTGTGTTCGTTTATATATGGGATCGGATTTCCTACATTTTTCAACCGATTTCAACAAAACTTCACTTTTTCTTTGGCAGGTAGTGTTTCTTATTGTCGTGCACACTTTTTTTCTTTATTTTTATATTCAGAATGCTTTAAAAATTCCATTTGCAAGACAATTGTTTATAATAAAATTCTATTCAATCGGTAGACTCATAACGATTGAAAACACTGTTTTTGTTTGAGTTTGGGTTTGACCAATTCGTAAAAAAAAAAAAACTAATTAAGACATGCATGTCCGTCAACCTTGAACAATAATCTTTGTCAATTTCATTTTTTCAGTCTTTATGATTTATACTTTTACATCCCCGGGTAACGCTGGGCTCTACTGCTAGTTATTTCTAAATTAGACTCCTATACGGCAAGCGTGTTGATGGAATCCCAGAGGTCCTGGCATTTAAGAGAGATATGTTTGAATGCTTTATTCGGAAATTCAACACTTGACTATTTTGCAGTAGGCACAACTGATTTTCCACTTAAAAAAGAAGAAGTACTACTGAGTGATATGCGCATAACCCCGTCACTGGTCACGGACATTATTTCTAAATTAGACACCCATGAGTAGGAGGTGACAGGATACCAGCCGTCTGCCTAAAGAAATGTACTCCTGAGCTGGCTCCAGTTCTCTCCAAACTCTACAACTACTGCCTCGCTGCTTTGTAGTTCCTGTTCTTAAGAACTCTAGAGAACCTTTTGATCTCTCTAACTACCGCTCTATCATTCTCCTAACGCGTTTCAAAGTTTCAAGGCTTTAATCAGTGCTGAAGTAATTAAGCATCTTATCTCTTACGTCCTACTCTCTGCTTCCCTTATAACCTTATGTATGTTTTTTTTAAATCATTTCACACTAAGCATGGCAATAAAGCTACTAGGATGCAAGGGGTTACTGAATGTGAGAGACAATACGATAAAAATCTACTATTAAGGATAGAGGACAATAAAAGAACAAGAATTCAGGAGACAGAAGATAACGATTGATATTGCATTTACATTTTTGAAGACCAAAGTTCATTGGGAAGGAAAAAAGAAACAGCATAATTTGATGTTTTGAATGTGACCCTGTTATGATTAGAGAAAATATTAGGAGGAGTCAGGTACTTACTGAATCGGTAGAGAGAACCGACAGTTTTCCCGCCATTTTTAGGGATGGGCCGTATGTACGAGTCCCACTTGAGGGGTCTGGGTGGAGCTTAAGTTCCAACAGGCAGTCAAAACACGGGACTTCCCTGAGTGTATATGAAATGAAGGAGAGTAGCGCTGTAATTCTAAGGGTAATTTCTAATCAGTTATAATTATTTACCAAATGAATTGTGGTGTCTTATCATTCCAGGCAGCAATATGCAAAACCGAGAGAGAGAGAGAGAGAGAGAGAAGAAGAAGTAGAAAAAGAAGATGAAGAGAAATAGAGAGAAAGAAAGAGAGAGAGAGAAAGAAGAAGTAGAAGAAGAAGAAGTAGAAGTAGAAATAGAAGATGAAGAGAAAGAGAGAGAAAGAGAGAGAGAAGAAGAAGAAGAAGAAGAAGAAGAAGAAGAAGAAGAAGAAGAAGAATTAGAAGTAGAAACAGAAGACGAAGAGAAATAGAGAGAGAGAGAGAGGGAGAGAGAGAGAGAGAGAAAATAGTGAGAGAGGGGGGGGGGCGGTAGTAACAATAAACTTTTATTTTTGTTAACCAGAAAACGATTTACATGTCATTTTAAACATTAACACCGAAAGAAAAAATATATCGACAACGAATGTCATAAATTATGTTTTTGAACAGGAAAATCGATTATTTCTGACACATATGAAGAAAATTTCTTCCATTATGGGGATCGATCAAGCAAAAGAGCGGGAGAAAATCTGTGTGTGCATTGCGGTGCGTGTGCATGAGTGTGGAAGGAGAGTAAGAGGGAGAGTGTGTATGGGAGAGCTACCAAGGCTACAAACTGTATAAGCCGGGCGATTGGAGCACTTGTGTCGAAAAGGATGCAGATTGCACAAGACGGTCGTTAAAAGTTAATGACGTCATTCAACCAAATTTAAAAGACCCATGAGACAAAAGAACTGATGGCCCCTGGTTAGCGAGATGGTGTCGGAATATTTCGCCATCTATCTAGTTTAGTCCGAATGACTATATGCCTGTATGTATGTGGACTTCTATTTAAAATTCACATCTTGTTCCCTATCTGTCTATCTATATATCTATCTATCTATCTTTACCTCTCACTTTTTTTTATCTCTTCTTCACACATACATATATATATATATATATATATATATACGCACAGAGAAAGAAAGAAACACAGATCCATCTATCTCTTTCCCTATCTCTCTCCTCTCTCTCTCTCTCTCTCTCTCTATATATATATATATATATATATATATATATATATATATCTTCCTTTTCATATATATCATATTTGTTATTTAACTAAATTCCCCATCTCCCCCATTCTCTCTCTAGCTGTCAATCTATCTATCTATCTATCTATATAATATTAAAATTTGCATAATTGTAAATATCAAGTGCTTTTTAGTTGATCAATCTTCAATATATATATATATATATATATATATATATATATATTATATATATATATATATTTCAAGTCTATCTATTTTAGTCTGTTCATATGTATCCAAATATCTATCTAATATATATCTATATTAATCTATACAAACATTTTCCAATAGATGCGGCAATTAATAATGTTTTTTAAAATAATTGATTTTACAAGTTTTTTTCCATAACTTCATTTCAACATATTTTTTTTATTATTGTTAAGGCGAATAGTAACTAGATTCCTCTCGCACATGCATGGAGCTGCGTCGCGACATTCGCTCCCGCGTCTTGTATATACGAGTTTGTCGTTACTTTAAAATTATTCATGCAGAAAGGGCGGACTATCATTGTTGTTTCGTCCGTTGTTGTTTGATTTATTGAAATTGTCATCTTTGATAATGGCTTGTATAAGTCGAAAGCTTAGATTGGTTTTAAACATGTATCAATATGATGATTTCCTTTAGTCTTTCAATGATAATGTTATTAAAGCTTATCAGACGATATGAAAGGAACTTACTTAAATTAAATAGATAAAACTAGTCTATATTATTTAATGAAACATGCATATATATATATATATATATATATATATATATATAAGACTTAAATTCTGGTATTTTCAGTTTTGTATTGTTTGATTTCCATTGGTCAGTAACGGTACACGGACAGTTGCGTCCCTCGACAAATGCCTCCCTTGGATGACTGCGTACCTCTGATAATTTTTTGAAGTTAACATACTTTCTTTCTCTTAAGATTTGCTAATTGCAAACCAATTTTTAATTACTCTAAGCAAGCAAAAAGTTTATCAACATAAATTTTGTACATTATTTATATTATTCGGATTATTTTCTTCATCTTTGTCGCCATATTTATTACAACGTTTCAGCCGTTTTCACTCTCGCGTGGTCATGTGTCTTCAAAGTGGATAAAGGCGTTAGTTAGATCCAGTGACAGGACCCAAAGAGTGTGAGTTCAATAACCGGTTAAGGTAGTGGAGAACTTTCAGAGGGAAATTAACAGGAGATAACTGATAACTGACATCCATTAAACATGGCACGTGGAACTAGAACAGTGAACAAACTGTAGAGTTCAGTTCGACATTCCAACAACCTGAAGAAAGCCACAGCGTACAACGGCCGAAACGTTGTAATAAATATGGGGACAAAGATGAGGACAATAGTCCGAATAATGTAAATAGTGTACATAATACCTCATCTCATAAATATAGACAGATACTGAAAGGCCAAAATACCTCACCTCAGATATATAGGCAGATAAATTTTGAAATAAAAAAAATATTAAGGATGGTTTAATATAGAAATTTGTACGCCAAACGGGCGACTACATTAGGGATTAGCTGGTCACCCTAGTTTTTTGAAAAATCCAAACAGGAATACAAAAGAGATTTGCGTTTAGATAAACATTCAAATTCTCTAGTCTATTGATGCTACATTTAAATTTTCACAGATTGTAGCAATCAGGGAAGCAATTATGAGGAAGTGAGGTCTGCAGTTAGGAAATACGAGAAAAGAATTTTCGTGAGTAAAAATGGCGGTTACAAATAACTAGTTTAACAGTAAAAAGGTTTGACGCTAGAAGCCATTTTAGTAGAACGCTTAAATTCAGGAAAAAAAAACTGGCCAGAGCAGCTGCCATGAAAATATTTTTAGAAAAGTCAGAGGGAAGCCAGATCACATCTCTGAGAAAGTGTCTGGAGTCGAGAAGCCAGGTCAGGATCTCTTCTTTGGATTTTGACGAGAACATAGTTATGAACAGCAGGGGCAGCAGAGCAGATATGGCACGAACGAATAGTAGATTTGTAAGATGGACACTGACAAGAAAAACCTTCTGGCGCGGCAGATAGAACTAACGTTCCTTGCAGTAGATGCAGCTTTTGATGCAACCTAGTTGTTCCACCTCAAGCCAGTGGAAAAGGTGAAGCCAAGAATGCGCAGTGAGACGTGCTCTTGGATGCTGACAGTAGGGAAGGAAGTTTCTCTGTGTTGGTTACATGAGAGGTGTTTATTTTTGGAGACATTAAAATTTACAAGCCATTTTCTATCCCAGTTAATCACTGATTGGCGGTCCTTTTCTAGAGCAGTGGCCAGGTTAATTTTGTTAGCGCTGATTTAATAATCAGACAAGAGTATATATATATATATATATATATATATATATATATATATATATATATATATATAACGGTTAGTACTACGGTTAAGCTTTTCATTTAATTTTTTCTTGTGTTCAAACAAGAGCTTACTTTTCTGGAGAAAAGGTGTGTAAGATCTGTCCAAATGTTTTATAGTTCTGATTCGATTTTTCAGCTTAATTGAGTGTGTGCCTTCTGTGTATTTAGAAAGCTCTTTTTCGAACACAAGAAAAATTAAATAAAAAGCTTAACTGTAGTACCGGGTATGTCGTTTTTAATGAAACATGCATAAAGGAAGGATTGCTGCCTAAATATACATATGTATATATACATATATATATATATATATATATATATATATATATATATATATAAAGAGGTGTGGGTTTGTAAACAGTGACTATTATGGCTGATATAGTGAGACTCTTCGGCAAAAGCGAATTGAGTGACTGTCGGTCACTCTGTGTGTTTATCTAAAAATAAACACGCTAAAATTCACCGCCGACGGCTTAGTGGAAGAAACTCCGATTGACACCAATTCAGTCGGGTTTCTATCCTAGCTAGAAGCAACCGGATATCTAGCCACACTGAAGTGCTGTGAAACAGCGAAACAGTCTGTCTGTAGATGACTTTATATATATATATATATATATATATATATATATATATATATATATATATATAAGTGTGTAAATATAAAAGTGAACATAGAAGTCAACACTTAGAGGCGACAGTCTATTTCATGCATATGCAATCGTCAGGCCACGTGTGCTGTTATTTTTCTCGGCTATTTATACATATACAGGTCAGTGGTGCATTGTGGGAAGTCTATTATGGCGGTTATTTTACCGGAAGTCGTTTATTTATTTACTTGGGTTAAATTATTTTATTTGTTTCTATTTAATTAAATTATTTTACTTGTTTTTATTTAATTTTTTTGTTTTTATTTTATATATATATATATATATATATATATATATGGGTGTATGTGTGTGTGTGTTGCTATAGGCAGGTTTTCCTGTCGTATACAATTTAGAAAAAAAAACAAAAAAACAAAACAAAATATAATCCCAGAGGATGTAGAGCAGAATAGTCACGAGAAATGTTTAATATTATATTACAATAATTTATTGTTTCAGGAAATTAATGAGGTGTTTGAGAATAAATGTTATCTGTTCTAAAACAAAACAGGTCTGCTTCCCTGCGTTCTCTTTGTATATTTGACGATTTCAGTATCTATCTATCTATCTATCTATCTATCTATCTATCTATCTATCTCAATCTGTTCAGACGTATTTATCTATCTACCTATCTTAGACTGTTTATATCTAAGACTGTTCATATCTATCTATCTATCTATGTATCTATCTATCTGACATGTCATATCTATCTACATAACTATATTAATCTGGTCATATCTATCTACCTATCTATCTTTCCTTTTACGTTAACGATTTCAGTATCTATCTATCTATCTATCTATATCTACCTCAGAATTTTCATATCTATCTATCTCAGTCTGTTCAGATATATTTATCTATCTACTTAGACTGTTCATATCTAAGACTGTTCATATGTATCTATCTATCTATTTATCTATCTATCTCAGTCTGTTCAGATGTATTTATCTATCTACCTATCTTAGACTGTTCATATCTAAGAAGGATCATATCTATCTATTTATCTATCTATCTGACTTTACATATCTATCTACATATCTATATTATTCTGTTCATATCTACCTATCTTATACTGTTCATATCTATCTATCTATCTATCTATCTATCTATCTATCTATCTATCTATCTATCTTAGACTGTTTATATCTAAGACTGTTCATATCTACGTATCTATCTATCTATCTGTCTATCTATCTATCTATCTATCTATCTATCTATCTATCTGACATTTCATATCTATCTACATAACTATATTAATCTGGTCATATCTATCTACCTATCTATCTTTCCTTTTACGTTAACGATTTCAGTATCTATCTATCTATCTATCTATATCTACCTCAGAATTTTCATATCTATCTATCTCAGTCTGTTCAGATATATTTATCTATCTACTTAGACTGTTCATATCTAAGACTGTTCATATGTATCTATCTATCTATTTATCTATCTATCTCAGTCTGTTCAGATGTATTTATCTATCTACCTATCTTAGACTGTTCATATCTAAGAGTGATCATATCTATCTATTTATCTATCTATCTGACTTTACATATCTATCTACATATCTATATTATTCTGTTCATATCTACCTATCTTATACTGTTCATATCTATCTATCTATCTATCTATCTATCTATCTATCTATCTATCTATCTATCTATCTATCTTTCTTTTAAAGCTGTCTGTTCGTCTTTATATCTCTCACCCGATCAATATAAGTCTGTTTATATCTGTATAAATATATGTTTTTGTGCGTATGTATATTTCTATTCATAATAATCAATCAATCACTCAATCAATATGTATTCAGTGTGCTCATATCTATCTATCTACCTATTAGATATTTCCATTATCTGTGTTTGTATATACCTATCATGATTTAAGTCAAAACAAATATCTCTATTTCTGTCTTTCACTCTTTCTCTCTACCTCACTCCTATTCTCTCTCTTTCTCACTCTCTCTCTCTACCTCACTCCTATTCTCTCTTTCTCACCCCTCTCTCTCTCTCTCTCTCTCTATATATATATATATATATATATATATATATATATATTTTATGTGTGTGTGTGTGTGTGTATATTTGTGTGTATGTATATCGGTTTATTGAAAAATTTGCATATATATATGTATTCATAGTGTTCTATCGATATACATATTTATATATATATATGTTTATATTTTAGTATACTCAGATCTATCTAACTATCTATCTATCTATCTATCTATCTATCTATCTATCTAACACATTCTCATTCATATCTATCTATCTATCTATCTATCTATCTATCTATCTATCTATCTATCTATCTAACGCAGTCTGAGAATTTTCCCACTATTTCTCTCACCCTCTTTATCTATCTATCTATCTATCATATTTGCATACATATATATATATATATATATATATATATATATATATATATATATATATATATATATATATATATATATATATATATATATATATATATATATATATATATATATATATATATATATTTATATATATATCATATATGTATATAATATCTGTTCATTTCTGCTGTATGTCGAAGTTTATCTATCTCCGTCTATTCCTTTCATCTCTCTCTCTCTCCTTATATATATATATATATATATATATATATATATATATATATATATAATATAATATAATAAATAAATAAATAATTGAGTTCTACCTGGATTCTTCCTCTTGGAATTTTATTCTAAAATATACATGTATGGGTATTTATATATTTTGCATATGTATGTATATTTACCACTAATATTATCTATCTATCTATATATATATCTATCTATCTATCCATCTATCTATCTATCTATCTATCTATATATATATATATATATATATATATATATATATATATATATGTATATATATATATATATTATTCTGTTCATATCTATCTATCTATCTCTCTCCGTCTATTCCTGTCATCTCTCTCCTTATATATATCTATTTCATTCTGTTCATATCTATCTATCTATCTATCTATCTATCTATCTATCTATCTATTTATCTATCTATCTCCTACTGACTTGACCGTCTTTCATCTTTCCAATGGTTTTAGAGTAGAAACACCCGACACTTTCCAACCAATATCCGCTCTATAAAAAGAAAAACAAATGTGACTCCATTTCAATTACATTCTTAAATTTCTACGAACTACTTATGAGGTCACTGCTTCGTTTTTCACTTTCTCCTCAGCCCAGAAAGTTCCAAAATATATGTAAGATACTGTGACAGCTTCTCTTATATTAGAAACGATTGCAAATCTCTCAAATTGCTTAGTCCACGCATATTGGCCACTGACCAGACGAGAATTGCGAGTTGGGTGTAAAGGGGTCGTTTTCTGGCGTCAATCCCACGATTATAATATCAACATTACGAAGAGTTTATGTGAGAGGAAGATGAGTAAATAAATGACCAGTTTCGCCTATTGTCCGGCCGGCGAGTTGCCCGAGCGGAAAACGTTTACTCCCTTGGATCATTTTCGTTAAGATGCTGACCAATGCCAAGATCTGCAGTTATTCGTCTCCTTGGTTACTGCTAAAGGGCCTTCATTTATAGATTCTTTCAGGACTCATGTGAATGTTAAATGTTTAAATACAATATTTATGTTGGTATACTCTGCTTATTTTTTTCAGTTTCAGGTCTCCAAGTATTTATCAAGATTAGCTAAGTATGAAATTAAATTATTTCATATCCCTTCTAAATAATTCTTAAGTTATTTAAATTATCCAAATACTTTTATCTAACGCAAATATAATAGAAAAACCATAGAACTATTCCTTCATTAAACATTAGAGTTAAAATATTTTCTTTGTAAAAAGGAAAAACAAAACATATGCACCATTAATACTTTTGGTATCTGTGCAGATAATGTTACATCTTATATATATATATATATATATATATATATATATATATATATATATATATATATATACACACACACACATATGTGTGTGTATATATATATATATATGTATATATATATATATATATATATATATATATATATATATATATTCTAGCCAAATGAATTATTTGCTACCGAAAGTAACTATTTGCTATTCAAAGTAACTATTTACTTCCCAAAGTAACTATTTGCTGCCCAAAGTAACTATTTACTAGCCAAAGTAACTATTTGCTACGAAAGTAACTATTTAGTGTCCCAAGTAACTATTTGTTACCCAAAGTAACTATTTGTTACCCAAAGTAACTATTTACTAGCCAAAGTAACTATTTGTTAGCCAAAGTAACTATTTACTATCCAAAGTAACTATTTACTATCCAAAGTTACAATTTGTTACCCAGAGTAACTATTTACTATCCAAAGTAACTATTAGCTAGCCAAAGTAACTATTTACTGCCCAAAGTCACTATTTTTTACCCAAAGTAACTATTTACTACCCAAAGTAACTATTTGTTACCCAAAGTAACTATTTACTACACAAAGTAACTATTTGCTGCGCAAAGTAACTATTTACTGCCTAAAGTAAGTATTTGCTGCGCAAAGTAACTATTTACTATCCAAAGTAACAATTTGTTACCCAGAGTAACTATTTACTATCCAAAGTAACTATTTGCTAGCCAAAGTAACTATTTACTGCCCAAAGTCACTATTTTTTACCCAAAGTAACTATTTATTACCCAAAGTAACTATTTGTTACCTAGAGTAACTATTTACTACCCAAATAACTATTTGCTATCTAAAGTAACTATTTACTGCTCAAAGTAACTATTTGTTACCCAAAATAACTATTTGGTAGCCAAAGTAACTATTTACTACCCAAAGTAACTATTTGCTACCCAAAGTAACTATTTCTTAGCCAAAGTAACTATTTGCTTCCCAAAGTAAATATTTCCTACCCAAAGAAACTATTTACTACACGAAGTAACTATTTACGACAAAATGTAACTATTTACTACCCAAAATACTATTTACTACTCAAAGTAACTATTTGCTACCCAAAGTAACTATTTACTACCCGAAGGAACGAGTTATAGTCAATGTATACGGTTACTTTTTGTTTATGAAATAATAAAAAGGGAGAGTATTCTCGATATTAATGGTATTTAAGGAAATATTTATCGTTTTGTTCTTTATGATTTGCTATATATCAGACAACTTCCTAATCCAATTTTTCTGAGAACGGTCTACTTTTATGAGAATGGAAACGTTGCAGGTGAGCATAAGAATCATGCAGGGCATTCAATTTTATGTTTCTTTATGAGAATTCTGTAAATATCTACGGTAATCCAGAATATAGATCTGTGTCTGACATATCGCTGAAATTAAAAAGGTTTACATACACGATGTAACAACATTTTTGTGGATAGCAATGAATATATATTGGCTACTCGTGTACTTATTTATTAATAAGCTTATTCTCCAAAATAAAGGTCTGATGATTGTTTCTTTCATATGTTTCAATACTTGTTCGAATCAATCATTTGCTTAATACCTTAATACCACTCAAAAGATATGCACAGAATAATCTTATTTTCGTTATTAACATTCGGACAAATATCCTTCATTTCATTGTTTTTATCAAAATTTTTCGGCCGCTGTACTCATCGTCCTACTTCAGTTTCCTTCTATCCGTGTGTTCTTAAGAGAATTTTTGTACACCTACTATAGTTTAATAGCGTTTTTTTTCTTCTTGTTCCCTTTCTATGGTGACTTTCGGAGCGTAGCTTAAACGTGGAAGAAGGCAGACAATATGGGGCGACTAGTGAGGATCGGACTCACGATACAGTTTGTAATTTGTTTAGTGAGACAAGCTTGCTAACCATTACACCACATTAAAGTGCCATTGTTCTACTATGCCTTGTTTGTTGTTTAAAAAGAAAGAAAGAAAGAAAGAAAGAAAGAAAGAAAGAAAGAAGGAAAGAAAGAAAGAAGGAAAGAAAGAAAGAAAGAACTAAAAATAAGAAGAGAAATATGTGTGGGGAAAAAATAAATGAATAAATAAATAAATAAATAAATAAATAAAGAAAGAAAGAAAGAAAGAAAGAATAATAGAAAGAGCGTAAAAGAAAGAAAGAACTAAAAAATAAAGAAATATGAATGTGGAAATAAATAAATAAATAAAGAAAGAAAGAAAGAAAGAAAGAAGAACTAAAAAATAAATAAATATGAGTGTGGAAATAAATAAATAAAAAAAGAAAGAAAGAAAGAAAGAAAAAAAGAAGGAAAGAACTAAAAATAAAAAAAATATAAGTTGTGAAAAC